GTGTTAATAATGTACTTAATTTAAATATTATATTTTTTAGTTAAATTTATCTAATAATACTATTAATTTTTTTGTTATGGTAAAAAATATGTCTTTTATTGGTGGATCATCATTTAGTGAACTTCTAAGACGGATTCTTAAAACAATTTTAACCAATCAAGTCGCTGAGCAATTCAGTTGGTTTGGACGGCAAAAAAAATTAAGTTTCGCAACAACAGCCCTGGCTGATTTAGTAAAAAGTAATAATGCTTTTTAAATATTTTAAATATAATCATTTTTTTTGTTTTATCTTTGAAAACTTTTTTGCTAAAGTAGATCTTGTTATTCCATGTTGTTCATAGTGTACATGTATAGTTGTAAATAATTTAATTAATACAAATATATGTGATATTACAACAGTTACCTTTTGTAATTTATAAAATTGCATTGTAAAATATGTGTACAATTTACTATATATTTTTTAGTTTAATTTAAAAAATGATACAGAGTTATTAAAAAAAAAAACATTTTTTTGTTGAAAGGTGCTGTAAAAATTAAATACAAAGAGGAAACAGACAAACATATAGAATGTGTTGCTGGTACTTGGCTAGCTAAAGCTAAGGAAAGAATGAAAAATCCTACAACTAATTAATTACTTACATAGTAACAAACATTATTTTATGTTAATGTTGCATGATTTTTCATTATTTTTTAAACAAAGGATTGACTTTTTTATTATATCATATTATTAACATGATATATTTTACATTATATTATATTCATTTTTATTATGTTGCTGCTTCATGCATTTTTATTATTTTTCCAACAAAAGAGTGACTTTGTTTTATTTTATATAATACATATGTTATATTATTATATTAAATAATGTTAAATTTTTTTTTTTAATTATATGATAATTTTATAATATGTTACCTATGTTCATTTTTATTAAATTATAACTACATATATGTTATTATAATGCTTCATACATTTTTATTATTTTTTCAACAAAGGAATGACTTTTTGTTTTGTTTTATTAAACAAATACACATAATATGTTGTATCATATTAAGATTATGTTAAATCATTTTTTTTTTAAATATATGATACATTTTATAATATTATGTTCATTTTTATTATATTATTATTAATTATTATATTTTATTAAATGCTACATGTATTTTTATTATTTTTTCAATAAACAAGTGACTTTTTGTTTTATTTTATATAATACATATGTTATATCATTATATTAAATAATGTTAAAACTTTTTTTTTACTATATGATACATAAATAATGTGTTACTTATTTTTATTGTAAAGGCTTCAAGTACAATGTTTCATTACTTTTTTATTTTCTCAATGAAAAGGGCTAACTTTTTTATATTGTATACCTAATACGTGTTCTGTTATATTTAAATAATGTTAAATCATTTTTTTTCTCATCTAAAGCGTGCATTTTATTTATCATATAATACATTTTATAATATATCTTGTTCATTTTTACTATCATTTCAATAAAAAAATGACTTTTTTAAAATTTTGATTTACATTTTATTGGCCAATCAAAAATAAATAATACCAGATTGTATATTCCTTTATTATATTTCATGTGTTCTTTGGATATGCATTAGATATATGTAAGGATCTTGGCGAAATATACTGGGAAGATTTTTTAGATACTGTCTGCAGATATCTAATGAATATGTCTGCAGATATATATGGTATAATCTAAGTAAATCTGAGGCGAGACATAGTAAGTTGCTGGTACCATTCTTTGAATATCTGAGGCTTATTGGTAGATATTCTGTGCATAAACGAATATTCAAAAATGTATATTCATATAGTATGATAAGAATATTTAATGCTATGTGGGTTACCACCTAACCCAAAATCAATATATCCCTGATGTCGAGTGCCAGTCCAGTGGACATGTTGTTTAATACTCATTTCATCCATTATTAAGCAACCACATAATTGTTTACCGTTTTCTCTTATTTCTTTTACTTTTAATGAAATTGCTTGAAAAGATTCTTAAGTCATACCAGGCAAACCATCTACTTTTGAATACTGTTGGATGCAAATACGCAAGATGTACCTACCTATCAATGGTCCACAGGTCATTTTAGACCTAAACTGTTTATATTACAGCCGACCGGTTTACCGATAATGCTATATTTTGTTACGCCGATGACAGTGTTGTCGATCGTTGGTGTGTGTGTATCTCCCCTGTTATTGCTTAATGCTTGGTTCGTTACATTTGGTCCTTCGAATACGCATATAAAAAAAAAAAAAGGAAAAGAGAATAGTTCGTTAAAAAAGAAATTACCTAATTTTATTATTTCCTTTTATCAATATTATTATCATAATAACTGCCATATACGATTACTATACTAAACGTTGGAGACACCGTTCGCGGACTATCGTAATTACCGCGGTGATAATTATTGTCAATATAGTATCATTAATATTTGTGGGTCTACGTCATGCATATTAATTAAGATTGTTGTTAGTTATAATCTTGTTTCACGGTCGACGACCTGGGCACAAATTGTGTGTGATAATATATTATAATATTATTAGTGTTACGGAAAGGCATATTGACGTAATCACACAAGTTCGTTTTTTATTATAATAAATACGTAACCACGTAATGTGTTCTTTGTTATTTGCTTTCAATACGTAAATAATATCGATAAATCACAATGCAGGCCAATTCTGATTCCGATCGCATAGAACGTTTTTTGAAGCGTTGTGTTGTAAAATGGGGTGATGCTATGACACAAATGAAGACTATGTAAGAACTTGCGCTTACTGTGGAATCAAATCCCGACGTAGCTTCTATATTTTGTGCGCGAAAACGAAATATAGAAACACTCGTCACAGAATTCAACGTCGAACACAACAGTGTTTTGGACAATCTCCTCCTACTGTCACACGAGGACGAATTTACCAATTCTCATCTGTCGCTCAAGACAACATTCATGGAACAATACTATTATATCATTGCGTTGGGTACGAGACTACAATTAGATCCAGCTATGGAACCACCGAAAAGCAATGTTAAGCATATTACATTGCCGACAATTAAATTGCCCATGTTTGACGGTGACCTTTTAAAGTTTCGTACATATCGGGACACATTTGCATCGTTAGTTCATAACAATCCGGATGTGTCAAAAATTGAGAAATTCCACCATTTATTATCGTCCACGACGGGCACTGCTAGTGGTGTGGTGCGTTCGCTGTCATTAACAGAAGACAATTATGATATTGTGTGGGACAATCTGCACACTATATACGACAATAAACACGTACTTATAACCGCACACTTAGATGCAATTTTTCATTTTGCGCCACTAGTCAAAGAGTCGTTGTCAAGTTTGAATTCTTTCCTGTCCATCTTTCAAGAAAACGTCAGGGCAATTAAGGCACTTGAAGTCGAAGACCTGGAAGGATTGTTACTATTCTACATCGCATCAAGGGCATTAGATCCATGTACTCGGCGAATGTTTGAGTCCGAATACCACCATGTCGATACTCCAATACTCAATTTATTGTTAGAGTTCGTTCAAATTCGATGTCAGGTACTTCAGAATATTAACGCCCATCCCATAAACCCATCACCATTTAAGAGTGGAGCCTCAAAATCATTATTATTCGCTTCTTCCAGTACGGGTGCAAAATTGTGCAAGCTTTGTCAAGATACTCAGTTACTGCATCAATGTTCGAAGTTTGCTCAGTACAGTGTTCAAAAAAGGTTTGACTTCGCCAAAAGTAAGCGGCTGTGTATGACTGTTTCAGTCCCACACATAAAACCTCTGAATGCTCGTTCAAACACTCTTGTCGTGATTGTTCTGGAAAACATCATTCATTACTTCACCTCAATCAGCGCCCCAAGAAGACATCGGCATTGACATCTACCCCTGTTGCTCTTGAATCAGCGCCTACAGTTACCACAGCACCGGGGACGTCAACTTCTATAGGGCTTGAAAAACCGTTTGTCGGAACATTCCAAACAAGTGGAAATGTTATTCTTGGAACAGCCATAATCCATGTCTGCAACAACATCGGTGAGTGGACTCCAGTTCGTGCGTTGCTCGATACCGGGTCTCAGATCTCCGTCATCACCCATGCGTGTGCGTCTCGATTGGGTCTAAGACGTCGACATTGTAGTACCTCAGTCATGGGATTATCACAAGCACATGTACCAGCTACAAAGGGATCTACTCATCTGACGTTCAGACCCAGACACACAAACAATCCACAAATATCGTGTGACCCATTAATTCTATCAAAAATAACGGGTCCGATGCCCGCAACTCAGTTAAGTCCAGATATTCGAGACACATATAACCATGTTGAGCTGGCAGACCCTGAATTTGATAATCCAGCACCAATTGAGTTCTTACTCGGCGCAGATGTCTACGCCAATATCTTAAGTGATTGTGTGCGAGTACTACATGCCCACGAATTCCCTTCGGCGTTTGAAACCAGTCTTGGATGGGTCATAATCGGATACACAACTGCCACGGATCCGTCTCCATGACTATAAGCCATTAGGTGTAGTGACATGCAATGTGACGTCACTTCAATCCCCTGCATGGTACCTTCGATTTTCGTCACTGACACGGATGCAACGCGTCACTGCATACATCCAACGGTTCATAACAAGAATCAAACATCTACCCACGAATCAGTTTTTGGTGTTTCGAAAGTTAAATTGAAATTATTTTTGAAGTATTCGCTAAAATAATCATATTTAGCGATTGGTTTTATATTCGTTTCACCCCTTTGGATCATTTCAAATATTTCCGGTTCATTTTTTTCTAAATAAAGTTTATACATTTTAGAAATGTTAAGTTCAGGTGATAAATAATTAACATTTAAATTGTCAGATCGGCTGTAATGGGACTGGACTTTTGGAAAACTGTTAATATGGGCATCAATTTTAAATATAATATCATTTGATATTTTATTTGGCCTCTCAAATCCTGAGGACTTGGTTTATTATTTTTGATATTGTGTATAAGTCTGTCTACTAATGATTTTCCTATACCAAACAAAGAACAAAAAGCAATTTTACAAACGATTTTTTTGTATCGGGTGTTCCTTTCACTAGAGGTCTCTGTGTTGTGTTGTGTACTTGTGTTTTTGTCAAATATTAATGATGGAAGCTCCTAATAAAAAAATTAGACTATCTGGTGGAGCAAGGCGATTAATCAAAGAAAAAGAAAAGGCAGTTAAAGGCAATCAAAGTATTCTATCATTCCTAAAGCAAACATCAGCCAAGAACAATCTTTGGAATATAATCACAGTGAAGAGGAAGATAATCCATCCACTTTACCAACTCCTGGTGAGGATTTTTTAGGAGAAGATATAAATAGGGTTACTTCATTAATATAAGTTATAACATGTATTCATCAATATCATCTGTATTACGTAATGTATTATATGTATTACATGTTTATGTACAAATATATGTTAATATTATAAAAACAAAAAGTTCTAATAACTATAAAATACAGTTGTTGAGTTGTATGATTATTAAGAATTTAAATTTTATAGCACCATTCTTCTGTCGGAGGGAGTTAATATTTTAAATTGTTGAATCACATCATCAACATTTATATTATATGCCAATTTTTGTTCAATGAACATTGTTAATAGTCCATCTAGTCTCTCTTGTTGCATTGTACTACGTAACTTTGTTTTAACTAAACTTAATTTTGAAAATGTTCGTTCACATGAACAACTGGTAACTGGAATAGTAACAAAAGTTTTTAAAGTTTTGAATATATTATTAAAAATAGTTTCTCTTCCACTGCCAATTTCTGTTAGCCAGCTTATCCATGTGTCACATTTTTTTTTATCACTTTTAGGTAGATTGTTTGTGTGTTTAAGTAGATTCACTTCACTTTTTAACACTTCAGCTTCCAGGTTAAAAGTTTTTGTTAATATGGTGATATCATTATCATCAACATTCAATTCTAATAAATTGCCAACACTTTTTATCATATCCAAAGTTTCTTGGCTAAACCTAATATTAATACCATTAATCATTTCATCTAATGTTACGTTATAAACTGTAATCCTCATTTCTTCTGCCTTAGTATCAATGAAATGTTGTGTATTAGAATAAATATCAACTTTATTTGAAACTTTCCTTTTCTTTACCAATGGAATCACAATTTCATTGACTTCGCATACTTTTTCAACTTTTTTATAAATATTATTAAAAACAGATTCAGAATTTCTCATCGTTTCAAGAGACTTCTTTAATGACTCAACTAGTTCTATTGCAGTTAGTAAATTAATATCTGATGTTTGTAAAAATGCACTAACTTTTAATATAGAACATAGTATAG